TTTTTTAGGCCAAGCATTTTTCTCTGAGTTTCAAGTATTAACTTAGCTGTAGAAATTTAAATGTAAATGAAATAAAGATAGAAAGCAAGGAATAATTGAAAGATAATTAGAATACTTTAAATAGCTTTCGAGAATGATCTATACATTTTTAATAGTTTTTCATGAGTTTACAATTAAAATTTTTATAGTAATAGAAATCATCCTGTGTTTTTATTCTACAGCTACTGGAAGAAGTGGTAAAATCAATTTAATATTTAAAATATTAATTAACTTCCTTAAATAAATAATTAGATAAGGATGATGTCATGAGTGTTGTTAGAATTATCAGATGGGTGGGGTAGGTAGGGAAGAACAAGAAAACTAATTTTTTTTTTATATTCACAACTAATTACATTACAACAAGTTATCATAATGTATATCAGTTAATATTCAAGGCAATATATTAGTAGGAAACAACACCTATTGTTCCTGGGATAAATTATTTCAGTTATGTGATGTAAATTCGAAGTCATTTCACCTGAGTCAGTGGAATGATCCTTGAATTTAACCACTGGTAAAGCAAATAACATCTAGGCTAGAGTCAATATTTGTAAAGCGGAGTTCCGAAACATTTCCACTTACAGTTTTTTATGAGTAGCGCTATTTATTTCATACTATCACTATTTCTGAAACTTGCAGAGTCACAGTTATTCATGCTACAGTAAGTGTATAGAAATGACACAATTGAAAAGTTTGTTGTCATCATGGGTATTCTCAATAAATAGAGATTAATCAAGATAGGAACATTTAGCCCAAAACACTGGGTTATTATACTCCCATCTTCTCAGTAGTGTTCTTTACACAACTATATTTCCCTTTAGCTAACAATCTACAAATTTTCCTCTATGACAAGATAAAAGGAATTATAATTATTCCAAGAATGGCTTTAATGAAGATTTTCTCTGTGGCACAAGATGTGTTTACAGCATTTTAATCTGAAGCCAATATATTTTAACCAAGACAGAGAAAACAACTCCAACTCTTCGACCGAAAAATGCATCTAGTCAAACCTCTCTTTCTCTCCCAGTGATTTACCAGAAGGAATGGCTAGCTGGAAAGGAACAGAGAGAGAAAGAGAAGAAAGCAAATTCACACAACTTCTGGGATCAAAGAGAACTAGGAGAAATTCGGTTCCTCCCAGCAGTCTGGGAGGCGCGAGGGTGGCTCAGTAGTGGCTGCCTGTGTGCTCTTCTTATCCCCGTGGCCGGGAGTTGTGGCCGGGACTCACTTACCGAACTGCTGGTGGCTGGCCGCGATCGGAGCCATGTTGGTGGTGCTCTCTGTCCGCGGTGCTGGAGCCGCTGTCCGTGGTCCCAGAGCCTCTGGCTGACGCGGCTGATCGCGCTAGCGGAGTCGCCCTCTCCGGTGCTGAGCGATCTCTGCCAGGAGCCCCGAATGTGATGCTCTGCTGTTTCTCGACTCGTCGCTCTCTCGCAGCACCGGGACAGCAGGCTTTTTCCACGGTGGTATAACAAACAAACAAACAAACAAACAAACAAAAAAGAAAAGAAAAAAACCTAAAACCCGGAGACACAAGCAGTGGAGAAGGTGAAGGAGGAGGCTGTGATCGGACTGAAGGAGTGGGGGGAGGGGAGCTTCGGTCCTCCCCTTTGCACACTGATTTCCAAACCCCTTCCTGTTTTGGTTCTTCTGAGTAGCTCTGCTCCGAGACTGAAGACGTGGTTGAAACCCAAATTGACGCAAGCCTGACGCTACAAGGCTGAAATCAGCACCTTTCCCACCTCCCTTCCCCCCCGCTCCCCCCACCCCCCCCCTTCCATAGCCACCACACCCTCCCTCCCTTCCTCCCTTCTTCCCCCTCTTCCCCCCCTTCTATCTTTCTGAGGATTGAACACACGCTCATCGATTATTTTAACTGCCCTGCTGCAGGATATGAGTTCCCACCCTGTGTTGGACACAGAAAGAGGAATGTTAATGGCTGTGATTCAATGCACCTTGTGTAATACATGGGTGTGTCTGTTTTGCTGGGGTAAGATCTATTTATTTGCTTATTTATCTATCAGCTGGACGGGCTACAGTGATGTGAAGGAGATGCCAGGTCAGATGATCCAGATGCCTTGGCTCTAACAGAAAAGAACATATTTCTGCTATGACTGATGTGATGCACTTACTCTTTTTAAATCATGAAAACTCCCAGTGTGCGTTCTCCCTGTCCCCTGTCCTTGATTCTCCCTACCACCCACCCTTACACAATGCCCTAAGCCTTCACTCTTCAAATATATTTCTCTTCTCTTCTTGATATTCCTGCTTGTCTGGAAAAGAGCTGAATCTATTGAGATACGTCTGGATTTTACAAAATTTACATATCAGTCCCCCAGTCTGGACTAAGAATATTTAGAGAGATAGGGGTAAGGGGCAGGCAGGTGAGAGGAATTGAGGGAAACAGAAAAAGAAAGCAGGACTGCCCAAAATTAGAACACTACAATAACCCAGAACAAATCATAAAGCAATAGAGCTGCAAAAGCCAGCATCTGGCATCTGACTTCTGGATTGAAAAGGAACTGTATCAGCCAACTTTGAATCCCAACTGTTAATTCTGCTGCATAAATGGGAAACAGGTGTTGTTTTTCATCTAAATAACAAAATCCAGATGCTGACATAGTCTGGAATCAGCCTGCTCCACAATTGGCTGCTTGGATGCTGGTATGTCTTGGCCCACTTCAAAGAATGTTCTTGTTTAACATTGAAGCCAGTGAAGCTTTTTGGCATTTGGAACAATAAAAAGGGAAGTTTAAGGAATTAAAACACTCTATTATAAAAGCACTTGCCCAGTCTTCAGAACTGAAAATGTTTTGTCTAATATTAATTATGCTATTCTCCTTCTGTAGCACTTTCAGCAATTTGTCTTGTTACATGTACCTACCCATCCTTGTCATGTATAGCTATATCCACTCCCTTAGACTTCCTTATGTCTTAAGCCATTTAAAAAGCATGGAGAATAACTTACTGTAATTGTTTCCTTTTCAAACCGTTAGAGTCCTTTGAGGCAACTTTGTTTGCTTTTAGGTGTGTTTTGTCAATACAGTTTGATTTGGAAATTTAGGTTCACATATTGGCCCCAATCCAATTTACATATAGCTCAGCTTCTTCCCTCCTGCCAAGTCTTCCCTCTGTCATCCTTACTAATCACTTATCTTTCTCCATCCAAAATTCATTTCTCAAAATGTACACCCACTGTAAACAATTTCATTTAATTTTAGACGCCCTTCCAGGTATTTAAGACACTTGATGTGGTTGAAATAATAATAATAATAATAAAAACCTTATACAAATACAGGTTAAAATATGTTTAGCAGAGTTATTAAACTATCATAATCTATTACTATGCCTGGACTTTAAAAACAGTTCACAAAGAGTAAGCATAAGTTATAGCTTACTTGGTTATCAATCCCATCTGAGCTAGGACATCATGTGATTAGGCTTGTATGATTATAAACAATTTGCAATGACAGAGATGATAATGATAATAATTACTATTATTAATGAAATCTGGGACATCCTTAGTCTAAATGTGAACGAATATTGGGACACATGATAATATAGAATTTATTGCTTCAGATTTTCTTTTAGTTTTCCATATGTTTCATATATGTATATATATATATATATATATAAAATATATATATATATACATACATATACATATATATATATATATATACATATATACATACATATACATATATATATATATATATATATACATACATATACATATATACACACCGTTCACAGAAAGACTTTCCTTCAACATCCAGATTGTTTTTTTGTTTTGTTTGTTTGTTTGTTTGTTTGTTTTGTTCTGTTTTGTTTTAATGTTATTTTGATTCCCTGTGACAAATTTGAAGAAATATGAAAAATACATGTTCTTTTAATATTATTATTTTCCCCCCAAGTCCTGGTATTTCATCTTAGATTTTACACACAGGTTAGAATCCTGAAGTAGTGGATGTTGTATAAACGTTTTGTACAGTGACCTTCCTTTCTACTCTGTTCTGTGCAAGTGTAGCTTTTCGAAACATGATAGAAAATGATCTCTTCTGTATGTAGACATTTGGAATTGAGAAAACGGGATGTATGCCTAGGCATATGCAAGTATATAAACAAATATGCAAGTGAATGATTATATTTCTTTGTTTCATCTGCTGTTTCATCAGTGAAATAGCAGATAACCAGTTTCTTACTACACTCATGAAACTTCTGTACTAAATTACATGATTCCACATCATGGAACAGAGTGCATATCCCGGAAGATACTCGAGAAGGAGGTGGAGTATTGAGTTGCTAACACATTCTGAGACAGATGTAGTTTTTGCTCCCTGTGTTGTGCAAGCACCATCTAGTGTACATATTACATCCATCAGCACAGCCGACTAGTACACACCCATCTAGGTAGCACAAACACAGATACAGCCAACTCACTGCTTCTTCATGTATACTTCTGTCAAGAGAGCAGAGGGGGAAAAAAAAAAAAAGAAAAAAAAAAGAAAAAAGAAAAGAAATCATCATTTGAGCCCTCTGTCCTTTTTAATCAATTAAATCACTATATATATATACTATATATATATATATATACTATATATATATATGACAAAGTAGTGACTCTCCCTCTGTGGTTATACATTCTTTGCATTTTCCTCTGTTCTGAAAAACAACATGGATACTTCAGAAATGCTTGATGCAGTTTGCAAAATGCTCTTCAGAAAGCATGGACTAAGAATTCACTTCTGAGATAATATTTCCTCAAATTTCCCATCAAACTAAGTACAATAATCTCGAATACTTTCAACTCAGAGACAGAACATCAAAAGAAGCTGGCTGAGATTTTGCCTGCACTGAGTTGCAGTGGATTAATCATGTACAAAATATCTCTGTATACAGTTTGGCTGACTGTATCACATCAGGGCCTTCTGTGGTCTGCAAACCAGATTATTGATGCTCATGCATGCGCAGAACGCCCTCTACACAAAGAAAAGGGAGGGTGGTTGCTAAGCAACACAGTCTGTACACTTCCCAAAGCAAAGAGGCCTCAAATAAGCATATGGAGCTGGAAAAGATGGCCCGTCACTGGCAAATGAGCTGTCATCATTCCTCAGATCCCATAGCCTAAATATGGGGAAAACCTAATATTCCTCCTTCAAAAAAATAAAATAAACAAAAAGAAATAAAGAAAAAAATAATAATAATTAAAAAAGTTATTCTGGGCAATATTCAATAAAGATTATAAAAATAAAACTCCATGATTTATATGTATGAGGTGATGAAAACTGATGAAACAGCTTTCCATCTCTGTGAAATGTTTCCTTGCAACTTAAGGACAGAATTTCACATTTTCAGAAATTACATTTAAGTTCTACATTCTACAGTTGCCAGGTACTAAACTACAGATATTAATTAATACTGTTCAGCACCAACTAAATTCAAGCCCTCTAGCCACATTTATAAAACTTCAGTGAGAGTACAAGCAGAGGACCCTGATTCAGAGAAATGTTTACCATTCACTGAAGTGAAACAACTTCAGAGTGATCTACAAAGGGATTCAGGTAGGTATGTTGCTTCATTCACTCAGTTCTGTTTCAATTATAATTAGACTACGCAAAGGGGGTGGCATCCCTCCATTTCTTGTCTTCATCTTTGACAATCGCTAGCTATATACAAACGTTTTCAGATGCCACAGAAGAGAGGACTTAACCTCTCTTCAGCCTGCTGCCTCACAGACTCATTGAGTCTTCCTGGGTTGAACCTGAATTCAGCTACACACATAATAATGATCTAAACGAACTATTCATTTTCCATTGAAGAATGCTGTAGGTTTTCTGGACTGTATTTGCCAGCCCATGTAGATACATCAGTTACCAGAGAATTATTGAAATTGAATCTGGATGAGCAGACAAAGATGAGGGAGGGGTGCCTACTAGAGGGTCTGAGATACAGAAACAGCCTCAAATGTAATTATATAAGTTCATGAAAGCAACTAAATAAATTCCCTAGCTCACACACAGATTTACAGAAGTCTAAATTAATATTTTAAACATGAAATTGAGGCATACCTCTGGGATCAACTTTTTCTAGATTCTACTGGCTGTATTGACCAGATACTCATTCTCTGTAGTGGAAATTTAAAATGTCTATTGCACATATGGTTTGTTATGCTTGCTTTAGGGCTAGATTCCATTCCTAAAGCTAGGCAAGAATGCCTAAAATAGATTTTACACTTACTCAGCTTGTTAATAAAAATAATAATA